CCATGACCTGTTCATACATTCTCATTTAATTCTTTAATTTAAAAAGTCGATTTTTCAATGAACAAGAATCTATTTTTTCTCCCTCCTTCATCTTCCCTGCAATTGCAAAGCATAAAACAAAACCCTTATAACAAATATGTGTAGTTGAGAGAAACAGGTTTCCATACTGGCCATGTTGAGAAACGTGGAGTCTCCTTCCTCAGCCTGCACCCACCCCTCTCTGTCAGGAGGTGGGTAGCAAGTGTCCTCATGGGGCCTGTGGAGTTGGGCTCCTTCATTGCATTGATCAACATTCTTAAGTCATTCAAAGTTGTTTGTCTTCACCAAATGTCGTGCGAGCTGTTCTCCTGATTCTGCGCCCTCCCCGGTGCATCAGTTTGCACGTGATTCTTCCCAGGTTTCTCTGAAACCATGCCTTTCCTCATTTCTTACAGTATTCCATTATCTTTATACACTCTAATTCGTTCAGCCGTTCCCCAATTACTGAGTGCCTGCCTCATTGTCTCATGTGATTCCCAAACTCACTTACAGATAAGAAATGGCTTCTGCTCCATTCCAGGGTCCTGCTGGAGTGAGTGGTGGAGGTGCAAGTCAGACTCTCTTCTTCTGTTTCTCCTACTACCCTGTGTTAACTCTATAGCTGGTCCTACACGGACACCAGGGAGCTGCCTTCCTAAAGGAACTGAACTGTGAGGGTCCTAACTGCCCCATGGCTGCCCGTGTATCCCCCTTAAACAGCGAACACATTTATGGAACCGAAGGGCTTCCTGGACACCTGCTTCTCAGCCCTTCACGAGGGCCGTAATTCCCAGTTTCAGGATGACATCTCAGATCACCCAATACTGAAACCAAGACCAGCTTCAAGGTCTTCTGATGACTCGTTTTGCGCTTCTTCCACAGTCTCTGTTCCATTTCAGTACTAGACTTCAGCCACGTTATGGGTTAAGCTGGCTCTTGTGGGTTGGCCCAAGAAACTAACCACCATGTATAACATTATTTCTGTGGGAAAATGCCTTCTGAGTTCCAAGCGAACTTCTGGAATACAAACTATTTGGAACTTTATATTTTCCAAATTAGAGATTGTTGGCAGACTATTTGTTAGTCTATATAGCATGGCCATGAGGTGAATAGTTGATGCCTTGATTGATTCCAGCTGTTTACTGGGGCACCCCTGAGGGGGGACAGCCTGAAGCCAGGATGAAGTACTGGTTGATATTTGGGAACAATGTGCTTTGTTTGATGAAGAATTCCCAAGAAGGTGGGGCAGGCCTTCTCTGAGACTACCCTATCCCCTAACTTGATGGGGACAGTGGTGGCCCATCGGAATCATTACAGCCCTGATGGCTAAAACCCTTTGATATTATCAGAAAGTACAAAAAAATGTAGGGGAGTAGAGGCTTGCCCCTTTTAACCTGATGGAGAGGGGCTGCCCGGCAAAGGAGGAAGGGATAGCAATAGAAATACAATAAAAACATCGTGGTGGAAATAATTGGAACAAAGGACACCCTACTTCTTTTGGCCTTCTCTCTCCAGGAAGGGGGATTGAGAAGCATGAAAAAAAACCCCACAACAAATGGAGGAGGGGGAGGTAATTATCTTCTATGACAATTTACAAAACTGGTGTCTTCTACCAGGAGTCAGAGAGAGGGAGGGGACAACTTCTCCATTCTCAGTTAAAGGGCCCATCTCTGGCTATGTGCCCCCTCCCTGGGGTGGCCATCATTCTAGCTCTGTTGGCAGTGGGCTTTAGAAAGCCAATAAACCCCTGGGCTTTCCCCCCACTTTGGCTCTCTTTCTGGGATCTTTTGGGGTTTTCCCCTCCTGCCTCTCCTATTTTTCTTGACCACATCAACTCCAGCTTCTTAAGAAAAATTTAAACTCTCACCGTCTCCATTGCTTCAATCTCAAGAATGTCCTCATTGCTGAAAAAGAATGAGTGAGTGCAAAGTCACCTAACCCACTATATGTGGTGCTGGGGTTGATGGGTCATTTTCAGTTATGTCCCACTCTTTGTGACCCCATTTAAGAGATTTCTTGGCAGAGATACTGGAGTGGTTTGCCATTTCCTTCTCCAGCTCATTTTACAGATGAGGAACTGAGGCAAACAGGGTTAAGTGACTTGTCCAGGGTCATATGGCCAGTAAGTGTCTGAGGCTGGATTTGAACTTATGAAGAGGAGTTTTCCCAGTTCTAAGGCCAGTGTTCTGTACACTATGGTGTCACCTAGCTGCCCTAACCTACTACTTGTTGCTGGCCCCATGGAGGCATCTACCTACTGGCTCTTTAATGAGCCATTGTAGAATTTTCCCAGGGAACAAAGCTAAGCTCACCACCCTCTACTTAGTAGACTTTGTTTTCTTCCCTTTTTGTCCCTCCCTGGTTTTGTGGTACCTCTCCCATTTGCAACGCCCTTCCTCCTTGCACTCATAGGGGCTCAGCATTCATACCTGATCTTTCTTTGGGTCCGAGGATGTAGTTCATCTGAGCTAGGTGACTGGCATTCATCTAAGGCTACTCTCCTTCCTGACATGAGGTAGCAACTCCCCATTAACCCTTTCGGTTTGGTTGTTTCCAATGTAAAAGTCATTCTCCTTGGCAGAGGAAACAGAAGAATAAGGATGGGCAGCTCTGCCTTCTCTCTGGAGTTAGTTATCATGGTTCCCTTCCCCAATGAGCAGGGGACCCGAGCCCTTCTTTGGACCTCCTTTTTCTTCCCCCAAAGCTTTCTGTTGGAATTACTGGACATTGTTAGTGCTTTATCAGTGATGTTCTTGTGTCTGAGCTTACATTTTCTGAATGTGACAAATTACATTTAAGTTCTATGTTTTCAATGACCAAAACATCTTACAGTCAGGCAAGGAAGGGATGCCATTGACTGCTGTGGAGGGAATGCCCACATCCTGAAGTCACAGATTGGTTGGAGTTTTCCATCAATGTACACTCCTTCATTAATGGAGAACTCCTGCATTTAAGGAGAAGACTGGGTATGTTCCTGGGCATTACTGGGTCTAGTCAGCCAAAGGGCATTGTTGCCTAGGTTGGGAGATGCTGAGTTCCCCAAGGCCCCTTGAATCTGTGCAAAAGAAGTACAAGATTGGGGGTTGGGGTGGGGGCTCTGATCTGCTCTGGGAGAGAATGATGGGAGCCTTTTTGGATAACTACTCTGATGTTCCTTTATTTTGAAATAGCTAATAATTTTGTTGTGCCAAAAAAGAGGAAGATCCCCATGCCCCCATGTCCCACCACCCAAAGACAGGTGCCTTTCCTGCATCCACACCCTTTGAGTCCCTTTACAATGGGGGCTCTTATCTTTTCTTGTGTCCTGGACCCCTCCGGTAGTCAGTCTGGTGAGGCCTCTGAACTGCTCCTCAGAATCATGTTTGTAAATACGTAAAATAAAACAAAGAGGATTATATTGGAAACCAGTTACATATGTTGAAATACAGTTATCAAAATATAAAAAACCCAACAAACTCATGGGTCCCAGATTATGAATCTTTACACACAGTTAAACTTTACAAGCAGTTAAAGGACAGGAGATGCCCACAAGGGATCCCCAAAGCAGAGTGGATAAGAGTGGGTGAGGAATCCAGCTGTCCTGGTGGAATGTCTAGGTAGGGATAGTCCACCGGACCTGCGTTTGGAAGTGTAAGACAAAGAGCCGAGGGAAGAGATCAGGGCTAGGGGTTCAGACTTCAGGGTTGTAGGATCCCTTGATTTTATAGATGAGGAAACCTAGATCCCAGAGCTGTAACTAGGGCAGGGAGACTAGGACCTTTCCCGTAGGCATTGACATCTTGGGTAGCAGGTGCTGGTCATTCTCTGTATGGTCTGTGTTCCCTAGTTCTTTGTGGTCTCCACTGCCAGTCTGCCCTGGGCTGCCATCTTTAGGGTCCCATTATAATTGCTTTCCTCTCCAGGGTTCTCCCTTCATTCTGTCACCACCATGACCTCTGCTATCGCCTCCTACCTCATCTGCTTCCTCCTAGAGTATGGCGGAGTTGGCCATCACCTCTTTCTCCTCAACCCCAGCCTCCCAATAAATTTGCCTTAGATGCCAGAGTTTCTAGTCTCAGTTCTCTCAGGTCAATTAATCAATCATTTATTAAGCACCTACTGTGTGTTAGGCCTGTGGTGGTCCACAGAGTCACATTGCAATAATGGTAGAAGCCATGGGTGTGAATGAGAGGGTAGAGAGATGAGTGAAGTTGAGAGAACTCAGCCCAACGGTCCTTGAAGATGTTTGTAGAGAGAGAAGGAAGAGAAACTTGAGGAAGGTGCAAAAGGTCTGTGAGGACTCCAAGAAGGACTGACCTTTCCTCTCGGAGCCCTTGTGGTCCTCAGGCCCCCCCCCCCCCCCCCAATCTTCTGACTGGTTGTTTTTGTTTATTTTTATTTTTTAATTTTTTTTTAAGCAATTGGGGTTAAGTGACTTGCCCAGGGTCACACAGCTAGTAAGTGTCAAGTGTTTGGTCTGAGGTCGGATTTGAACTCAGGTCCTCCTGACTTCAGAGCTGGTGCTCTATGCACTGTGCCCCCTAGCTGCCCTAGGTTGGTTGTTTTTAAAAAAACGTTTGTGGGGGATGGAGTAGACTGAAGGGTGGAGAACTGATCTGCAAATCCATTTAAATACATGTTATCAATAAGGTATTTTAAGCAATGTGTTCCCTTACTTGCATAATTCACTTTCTTTCTTGTTATTTTTGCCTTCCCTCCCCCACCCCCATTTGTGGGTGATATTATGTTAAACCACCATAATCTGGCATAGTTTCAGTTATAAAACCGGTTAAACAAAAAAAAAAAAAAAAGGTGAGAGTAAAGAGTAGAGCTCCATCCAAAAATAGTGGAAGAGCGCCACCAAAGGTGTTTCCTTTGTTGGGGGGAAGGGAAGGGCCGAGGGCCTGGAGGGCAGATGAGGATGAAGGCTGCGAGCAGGACAGAGGCAAGGCTGGGCTGAAGGCTCCCCCCATAGCTGGGCGCCCTCTCTTCCTTTCCCCCTAACTCTAGTCTCTGGGCGGGGGGAGGTGGGAAGGGAGAAGGCATTTCTTTTGTTCTACATTGTGCCAGGCACTGTGCTCAATGCTTTACATATAACTAGTTTGAATCTCAAAGCAACCCTGGGAGGTAGATGCCATTATTATCCTCATTTTGCAGAAGATAAAACTGAGGCAGGCGGAGGTTAAGAGATTTGTCTCTGTTGATAGAGCTAGGAAGCTCTGAAGTTGGATTTGAATTGGTGTTCTTGAAAGAAAAGCGCAAGGCGAGGTTGGTCCTTGGGCACACTCCTTAGTCTGGATTGTGGTGGAAGAGAACCCTGACCTGCATGAAGAGCCAGTCACGCCCGTCTGGCCGCGCTCACTGTGGCCTCAGTTCTCCTCTTATCCCTCAGCTTTACCTGTCTATAGGAGGTAAGCAATCAAAATAAGACACCGACTCAGCTCTCCAGAAGCCTCGAGGCCACATATGGCCCTCTAGGTCCTCAAGTGCGGCCCTTCGACTGAATCCAGACCTCACAGAACAAATCCCCTTATGAAAAGGATTTGTTCTGTAAAACTTGGACTCCGTCAAAAGGCCACACCCAAGGACCTAGAAGGCCACATGTGGCCGCAAGACCACAGGTTCCCCACCCCTGCTCTAGTTTAATTAGTGGTGGTCCCATCTGTTGTGGTTGGCGGTAGCTAGATAATGGGGTTGAAACAGATGATCCATCAGCCGAGAACATAGGCATTTGTTTTGTTTGATTGTGCAAATTTGCTACAACGGGTTTCTTTTTTTTATTCAATGCAGGGGGGTGGGAGAGAATTAATCAATCAATATACATTTACTAAGCCCTACTATGTGCCAGATACTGTGCTAAACTGGGGATACAAAAAGAGGTAAAAGACAAACACACACACATATATAAATAAAATCTCCTACTTATATATTATTACTGTATATGATATATAAAATCTCTGATTTTATATATATTATTATATATATTACTATATTTTACATATATTTATGTATATTATGTATATTATATATATTATGGCTATAGAAATAAACAACTATATATATATATATGTATAATCTCCTGTGATATATACAGGGTAAAGTAGAACTAATGAACAGAAAGAAGACACTAGAATTGAGAGGGGCTGGGGGGGGGGCTTGCCGTAGAAGGGGGATTTTAGTCAGGGTTTAAGGGGAGCTGGGGGGGTCTGTAGTCCATGTGGAGGTGGGAAAGCATTCCAAACACGTTGATCAGCCAGAGAGAATTCCCAAAGCCTTGAGATGGAAGGTCTCGTTCCAGGGATGGCCAGAGGGCCAGTGTCACTGGATTGAAGACGTGAGAAGCCTGGAAAGGTAGGAGGGGGCTAGGTTATGAAGGGCCTTGAATGCCAAACAGGGAACATTTTGTATTTGATCCTGGAGGCAACTGGTGACCACTGGAGTTTAATGAATAGAGGGGTGAAGCAGTTTGACCTGCAGTTTAGGAAAATCGCTTTGGTGGCCGAGTGGAGGATGGATTGGAGTGTGGAGAAGAGACTTGAGGCAGGAGCCCCCCCCCCAAAAAAAGCAGGCTATGACAAATAAACAAATACATACAAAACAAGCTATATACAGAAGGAAGGCACTAGAATTAAGAGGTGTTGGGGAAGGCTTTCAGTAAATAAATGCTTGTTAACTGAAAAAAAATTATGAAGAAAAAATAGAGAGATGATGTCTATAGCTCCTTCCTGTCTTCATTTTCCCTGACCTCCATGATACAAGATGACTTACGGGCCCATGTGTTTGCTCTGCTAATTCACAGAGCAGCAGACAGTGCTTTGGAAGAGTGTATACAGGTGTGCGATTGGCCAAAGGAGTTTTTCTAGTGGACAAATTCTTCTACTTGTGTCTACTAAGGTCAGGTTGTCAAGTCCTGAGACCATCTGAGTCAAACTGGGAGACTTGGCTGTGGCATTGATGAAACTGCATTCTTCATTTCAGTAAGCAGAGCTCTGTTGTGCAGCTGACTTCAGTTTCCCCCGAGAGAGATGAGTTCATGATAACAACGGCGAGTATGTCATGGAGATTCCAGGAATCACAAGTGTTTCACATAGAAGATTTATTAGAAACTAACATGACATAATTGATAAATCTGGAAAAATTCTACCCAGGAGCCAGGCTTTTGTTTTCCAGAGGCTTAATATTTAGCATTGTTTCTTTTCTCTCCCACCTCCGAATGACTCTATTCCTTTTCCCAATTGGATTTTGCTTGGCAAACTAGAGGTTTCCATTACTGACTTCAATCATGTCCATCAGGAGAAGATCATTTTGTAATTGTGTGAGGTTCTACCCTCCCAAGGCCTCTTCTTGTTCTGGTACTCAGCTTTCTGAATGATGGCCTTGGTGGAAGTGGAATTCACATTTATCTGGAAAGTCAAGATTTGAGAAGCTGACCTTGCAATTGGAGGTGAGCCGGCATTTCTAAATTCTGGGGAAAGTGAGGTAATGAGGGTGGGGTGGAGCTTGAAAGTGAGAGAACAGATTAGATTGGTGGTGTCTGGGAGTGGAGGAATTCTGAGGGGTGGCTGGAGGTGGCGGGTGTTCTAGCCTTCAGAGCTGAGTAGATGGCTGTCTGGACTTCATCCCTGCTTAGAAAATCAAAGGAGAGAGCTGAGCTCCTGAGAGGGGTAATCTCTCCAAAGGCAGGTTCTCGCCCTTCAGACCTATTTCTAAATGGCATGGAATTTCCCTGTTGGATCAATGATGACCCTATATCTGGTTGGGTCAAAAACCTTGGGAATCCCTGCTTTGCAGTCGTTCTGAAGGGGAATCCCAGAGACTCTCTGACCCTCAGTTTCCTCTTTTGGAAAGTGGAGATAGCAGCTGCACCACCTCATAGTAATTGCTCAAACTTAGTGAGTATATATCTCATACCTTAAGGTGCTTTAATGTAAAGCACTTTACCCGAATTATCTCATTCAGTTTTAGGATAGTGGATAAAGAACTGATCGCAGAGACAGGAATACCTGGGTTCAAATCCCACCTATGAGCATATTGACTATTTGACTCTGAATAATTCACTTTTCTCAGTGCCTTTGCTCCTCTCTGAGGCTATAATTGTAGATTTGTATTGGTAGATGGAATTTCCTCCTCAAGGAATGCTCTAAGCTTATAAAAACACAGGTGCCGACAACACACACACATATACACACACCCCCACATCCCTACAAAACAACCCTGTGAGGTAGGTTCAATTCCCATTTTATAGAACGAAGAAGCAGAGAAGTGAAGTGTCTTAACTCAAAGTCCCACCACTAGAAAGAGTCTGAGGTGGGATTCCACCCTCGCTCTTCCTGATGTCCAATTTCCCATACTATCCTTGTTGTCTCTCCCCTTGAAGAGCTGTTGTGAGAATTAATGAATCAGTAAAAGCATTGGGTAACTGCAAAATTCTGGCTGTTCTAGAAATGATCCCTTTTGAGCTTGTGAATAAATGTTCTCCTGCCCTCAAACAAAAAGTCTTATTGAGGTCTTTTGTTTTAAATCACAATCATGTCTTGTTATGTCCCCCTCAACCAACTAGCATTGAGCTCTTCCTTTGTAAAGAAGTGAAAAGAGATAAACAAAAACTGCCTGAGGGTGTATGCAACATTCTGGCCTTCTAGCCCCCCATTTCTGAAAACTTTGTCTGAGGGTGTCTGCAACATTCAGCCCCAGTCCCCCATTTCGGTGATGAAAGGAGGGGGTTACATTCTGTGCTCTCTTCTCTGGGATCAGCCACTGGCTTCTTGAAGACTTGTTGCTCTTTGTGCTTTGAGGTTGGCGTTTTCTTTTTGTGAACATCTCTCTTCCAGTCTTTTGACTCTCAAATCACGTTTTCCTCTCCCTTCCACGTCAGAAGGAGACGCTGAAGCCAGAATCCCAGCTGTCATTGTCTCTGTCAAGCACCATTTGATGGTTTTCCAGTCTTCAATAGATCATGGCTTGACAGTTTTGCTCCATTATGTCCCTGGAAAAAAAAAAACCCTCAGAGTTGAGCTAAAAGTTTGGGATGTCCTAAATAAGAATGGAATTTCTCATTCTCACTGACAGTTACCTCTTCTATCTTTTTATCTGAAGAGCCCTCCCCACACAGAAGCTTTCTGAGTCTGTCTGCCTATTCATCAAGATGAATGTATGTGGAGAGATGATTTCTTCTGCTGAGAGTTTCCTCGCACAATAGCTCCAGCTAGGGCAGTTACCCTTCTGCAGGGATGGCTTTGAGGTTATTGTTCCCTTTCTCCTCTGCATTAGCTTCTGAATTGCTTTTCATGACAAATTAAAACTTCTGTGGGCTGGATGAATTGGAGTTAGGAGCTTAGGATGTGGGGAGATGCTCTTACTGAATAACTCAAGTCTGGATGTCTGGGTTGTCTCTGAGTCATCCCGGGCTGTTTGTCCTTGCTTCTAAAGACAGGTTCTGGTTAGGGGCATGTGCTTTGTATGTGTGAGGGAGAGTATGAGTGTGTGTGTGTGAGTATTGTGAGGGTGTGTGTGAATCAGTGTGGGTTTGATGGAGTGGACAGGAATGTGTCTGTGAACGTGAGCTGGGTGTGGGGCTGGGGTCTCTCAGGTTTCCTAACATAAAAAATGAAATGGTTATGAGATCAGCAAACTGGCCTGCTCACAATTCCCTGTATAAAGCACCCCATCTTCTGTCTCTTTGTCTTTTCACAGATAGTCTCCAATGCCTAGAATATACTTCTTCCTCACCTTTACCCCCAGGCATCCACCCCCCTCTTTCTTCAAGGTCTGGGTGCTGCCTTTGGCCTGAGGTCCATCTTCCTCCTCAGATCTCAGTCCTTGCTCACTCTTAAAATCCCTTTGTAGGTACTTTGTACTTATTTGTGTAAACGAATAAATTTGCAAACATTTCTTAAGCACTTGCTATGTGTGAGGCCCTCTGCTAAGCTCTAGGTCTACAGAGAAAGGCAAAAGCACTATCCCTGCCCTCAAGGAGTTCATGGTCCAAGGAGAGGGACCACGTGTAAATCCCATAACTAGGTACCAATGAGATATCGAGAGTGGATGGAACCTTCTAAGGAGGGTGGACACTCCTTGGAGGGAAGGACTGTTTTGCTTTTCAACTTTGTAGCTCTGGTGCCTGGTACATAGTAAGTACTTAACAAATGTTTGTTGAATTAAATTGAATAGGGTAAATATCCCTTAATATCCCAACAAGGACAGTTAAAGAAATGATTAGTCTTGTTTAGAACTGGGAACAAAAGACAAAGTCATTGATTGATAAATAGCTTAAAAAAGTTTTATTGATGCCTTTTGTTTTTACATCATGGTTAATTTCTGGATATTACAGCCTCCCTCTGATTCCCCCCAAATTGAGTCCCTCCCTTGTAACAAAGGAAAAAAAAAGGAGCCCAACCCCAAAAGACTGAGTATGACAGTGTCTGCAGCAGAATACATGTGGACTGCCTGCCCCCGAGTTCTTTAGTTAAATGAGGAAGGTGTGTTTCATCATCTGTTCTCCAGGAGTATGCTTTAGTCAATAGCTCTTAACTTACATGCTTAGGATTAAAAAAAAGAGCATATAGATAGAAATAGAAAGTTATAGACAAGATGTATCTTCTTGTATATCCGTGACTTGTGCTCTGAGAGAGTGACCATTTCTAAGATTATATATGTGTGTATGTGCCATATATAGGTATATAAAACCCCCATATTTTGTGTGTGTGATATTTTGTTAATGTACTGTTAATTGTTAATACATAATGTAATGTGATGTATTGTTAATATTTTACAGGAAACTTGTTTTCTTTCTAAATATATGATTTTTAAAGAGTTGCTACTTTGTCAAGTATGATTTTAATTCTTGGGAATCCATCTATTTTTATCATGGAAGTCAATGGAAAAAACTCAATTTCTAGAAATTCGCTTTATAGCCAACTTTCTTTTTAGAAAGAGCACACTTATTCTCGAAGCAGTTAAACCCATATCATTTCCCTCCCTAGCCAGGGATACTTAACTCCAGTTAATTATTACGCGATATTATTGAGAAAGGACTCTGTGCTTCCTGTCCTATGTCATATGGACTGTTATTTTAGATGGGAAAATCTATAATCTTGATTTATTTCTTTAGTCATTTGCTGAAATTCCTTTTAAGCAATAAGTGCATCTTAAATGGCCTAGAAAGATAGGCTTACCTGGAGACTTGCCAATCTTATCAAGCAAGCTTTAAAAGAGGAGTGGCAAGGTAGGGAGAGGAGGCTTGGAGGAGGTGGGAACATGGTGCAGAGGATTGGTACCTGCAAGTCTTCCAACATGTCTGATAAGGGGCCACCCAGCCCCTGAATAAAGACCTCTAGGCAGGGGGAGCCCATCACTTCCCCAGGCACTCCCTTCCATGGTAGGGCAGCTCTCATCATTATTGACTTCTCTGGAAACCTCTTGTGTTGAGGTCTGCCCTCTGGGGCCAAAGGGAAAAACCTTATCTGTCTTCTGCATGACATGCAGCAGGGAGTTCTCTTTTTCATAGTAAATATCCCCAGGTCCTGCTACTGATCCCTCTATCGCACAGTCTCTGGAATGCTCAGCATCTCAGTCACACTCTCTCTGAACCCTCTCCAGTTTATCAGTGTCCTTCCTAAAAAATGGCACTCAAGATTGAACCCGATACTTCAGATGGGATCTGATCAAGGTAAAGGAAGAACAATTGTTGGGCAGCCTGGTGCACAGTAAAGAGCAGGATGGATTTGAATTCTGGCTTTGCTCCTTAGAACCCTAGATCTAGAGCTGGGAGAGACCTAACGGGTCACCATCACACTGAGGAATCAGGCATCCACCAAAGGACCACTCTTAGCTTCATATTTTTCATCCTGTCTCACTGGCTTAACACTCATCACCTTTTTTTCATCTTTTTTTTTTTTTGGTGGTGGTGTTGATTGGGGTTGAAATTATGAGTTGGTCTGCATAGGGAATTCCCACTTTTAGAAACTCCTTCCACCTATGAGGGTCAGCAACTTGTCTGTCACTTACAGTCTTGAATGTGGCTCTTCTGACTCCAGGATTGCTCTCTTTTTGGAGTGCTGTCTTTTTTCAGAATCTGGCCAAGGATGGCAAAAGGTTTTGTTGTGCAAGAAGGCTGCTCAAACGAGTCATCCCAAACAGTGGATTTTTACAAAAGGTAGTTTTATTTAAAATGGCTACAATTACATAAAGTTTCTTTTAAAATTATAAAAACTCCATAAATACAACATAAATAATACTTTTTTTTAGGGATGGGGAAGAAGGCTAGATCTGTGATTTTACTGGGTCGAGATGGTCTTGGATAAGGGAACTCTTTCACCAGTGCTAGTTCACACTCTCTGTGGACTTTGACTTAAAGAGTTTTGTGGGTCACTGAGAACTTAGTAACTTGTCCAAGGTCATCCAGTCAGTCTGTGTCAGAGGAGAGACCCGAGGCCAGGCTTTCTGGTTCTGAAGCTAGCCCTCTGCTCAGCAGATCACTGGAGGGAAAGGCAACTCATCCATTTCGAGAGATCTCCTGGGTCTGAGCCCAGGGAACAAGGTTGGCAGCTCCCCTCTTAATAAGGATAGCATATAAAAATAAAAAATATTTTAAGTGTTTTAAAATACATAAATTAATATTACCTTATGGGGAATAAATATTACTTAAATACAAATAAATTAATTTAAAATAATTAAGAGTTGTGCCTTACTGCTCATACTTATTTGTTCTTCATAAAGAACAACCTGGCAATCTGTCTATTGAACAGATTTTTCAATGAAGGAAGGAACAGGCTTGAACTAAAACGTTCAGGCAGCAATACTCCTAGTGTGCAGAAACCGAACCACCCGGATGGTCCCCTCCATGAAGCGGGTGTAGTGCCACAGGATGAGACGGAGAGCCACGTTCTTGGACCAGGTTTTCAGGGATTGCAATTCATAAAGCAGGTTCTTGGAGGCAATTGGGTCGAGGGTGGGTACTGCATCCGCCTTTTTTATCTGGGGGGAGGAGAAAAGAAAAAAACAACAAGGTTATTTTTAGTTTTCTTCTGAAATTCTCTTGTAGAGAAGGCCCTCCATTACTTCTGGGAGACGTGATTATGGTTGGGAAATACTGCGAACATGAACCAAATCTAATGATGGGAAGGCAGTTGGGCTCCTCCCTCCTTGGTGTTGGATGTAATCCCTGTTTCTGATGTTTCTTGGCAAGGAACCTGTCTGGGCCCTCCATTGTGCAGTTAGCAAGGTTCCCTCCATTTGTTATCTCTTGTTCCAGTGATGGAAGAGAAGCTGTCCTTTTAATGACCAGGAATATTTTTGTGATTAATTCACTGTCAGTCAGAGTCTCGCTCTAGGGAATTTCATGATCTCAGGCCCCTCATCATCTTTGTTATCGCAGGGCCTTGCTCACAGTAGGTACATAATAAATGCTTGATAAATTGAATTACTATATGCTATTTTTAGGCTCCCTGAAATAGGCTTGTCTCTTAAGGTGCTAAAAGTCCAGGGTAAATTCTAGCTTTTACTTGAGGGGATCGTCAGTGGTTTGAGAAAAGGTCAGAAGGGCTTTGGGGTGGCTAGCTTTGGCCCTTCTTCCTGTCACCAGGAGGCTGGTATCTGTGGAGAGAAGTGTTTGAGCAGTGGCTTAAATATTCTGGGTCCAAATTAGCTGAGAAGCCAAACAAGCGCACGTCAAGAAGACAGCCAGGAAGTAAAGCTTCGACGCGGCTCAGTGCCTCCACCTGCTCGGCCTTGGTCGGGCCCCTTATTTTTGGCCCTCCATGGTTCAATGACTTTCCCACTTTTCCTAACACAGCTTCTCTGAATTCACCAAATTCAAAGACTGTACTGAAGACCCAAGACGGCCTCCTTGCAAATGTCTGGGACCATCCCAGCCAAAAGTAGTTGGTCCTTCCGCTGTGGAGACAGCTTGTGCTCAGTCTGTAGAGAGAGGTTGCGGCACCTCAGTTCAACAAACTCAGTCCTGTAAACACTTATGTGGCACCTACTATGTGCAAAGCACTCTTGGCAACTGTTGCAAATTGATCACTGACAGCTAGAGAGAAAATGTCCTCCAGCATGGCTGTTGGTATACAAAACCCATCCAGCAATTCATTTGGTCGTATGACTGCACTGTGAACACGGTTCTCTGTGAAGCATGGGAACATTTCCAGAGGGTCCATTTTCTGATGTCTTCATGAGACTTTCCTGCCTTTGTAAACTTCAGGGGATATATTCTTTATCAAATTAGGAGGCTGTTGACCCAAGGCATATTTTCATGCTGTCAGGAAATCTCCTATCCTTCCTTAAATCGCTATCTTGGGGCTACATAGACTTCAACAAGATAATGTATGTAATACACTTTGCAAACTCTTAAGCACTGTATGAATGTCTATTATTATTATTATTATTATTATTAATTCTTTTCAGTGATAGAGAAAATGCCCAAGTTCTCAGAATCTCTGGTCATCACTCTCTCTTTCAGAAATTGTTCTCCTGATCTGTTTCAATCTCTCTCTACTTTAGTCTCGGACTTGGAAGAAGTGGTGTGAGTCAGAAGGCTAAGGCAATCAGTGGCTACAAGTGGAATTTCCCCCTTTTGGTATGTATGTCATCTTCGGAATCTGGCTGCGGTGACCGCTCCTTTGGACAATAACAGACTGCGTGTCACTTTTGCGTACTGTTGCCTCCTCTTTGATATCTGCCATGCCTAACCCTCTGCTGTCCCCTAAGACTTTTTAGTCAGAAAGTTCCCAAGACTTCCCCTAAAAGTGAAAAGCAATTCCTAGTTTTAACTGGGGCTGCGGCCATGATTTTTTCTTTAAGTTTTCTTGACAGCTGGCACGTGTTTCAGACAGGCACAGGAAGAGATATTTCCCACTTCCTGGCTCTCAAGGACTTCTGAAGTTAATGTGGAGTGCTATTTATTTCAACTCTCTACAGCTGGCACAAAAATGAGATGTCCCAACAGCTTCCACAGAAAGAAGGAAAGCAGCGCTTTAATTGCCAGGAAGCCTCTGATGGGGCTTTTTGTCGGTTTTTAGCTGGCTTGTTTTTGATAAATATTGCATTTTCTTTGGGAAGTCTGTTACTTGGGTCTGCCTATTTCCAATTCTAACTGTGGCCGCTGCTTCTTGGAATGCACAAAAGGAAACTCACCGAGGGCTTCAGTTTGTGGACTAGTTGAACTGTACCCATTCTTAGGTATTGAAACTTGTTATCCTTCATCTCTATTTCCAGGTACTGAAGATATGTATCAAACTCCTGAAGTCCACTGATGATCCTTAGCAAGCACATCTCCTTATGTGAAAAAGAGAAAACTTACGGTTACCAATAGGAAAAAAATATTATCTAGAAATAATTAAAATTGATATTTTAAAGCAGAGCCTGTATGACTCCTTTTCCCTTTCCTTTACCCCTCTAACAAAATGAAAGTGCTTCTCCTATAATATCATCTCATTTCTCCGCCCAATGGCCCTGTGGAGTTGGAAAAGCCCAGCTGCCTTATTTTCCATCTGGACAAACAGAGACACCACTTCAGTGATTTTGCTACAAGCCAAACAGGTGTTGAGATCTGGGAATAGCCCTCATTCCCCAGATTCTCCCTCTCCTCTTCTCTGTCTTAAATTATAGATCTTCCCTAGGCCTGTGGGTCTTTGACTTGGACTCTTTTCATGGCATAATCAAGATTCAGGACAGATTACCTCACTGTTTGGATGTGAGAGGGACAGATCAGAATGATTTCATGAAGAAGGGGGAGCTTGATAGCATGCCAATGACCAGCTAGGGAGGTCAATGGACCATGTAATGGAGGATAATCTGTCTGATATCTCTTAGAGTCTTCCATTCTTTGAGATTTGGAGGTGTAAAAAGACATCCACACCAACAGAAATACCTAGGTTTGTTTAAAGACATGAAAATGGGACCATCATTGGGACCTCTTAAATTAGCTGCCAAGCGAAATGCATATTAGATAGATAGATGGATGGGTGGATATAGAGATAGAAAAGAGGGTATCTATCTATCTATCTATCTATATATATACATACATATATATAAAACACATCTATCAATCTATCATCTATCTACCTATCTATCAATCGTCTATCTATTCTTATCTATCTACCTATCTATTCATCTTTCTATCAATCATCTATCTATTCATCTATCTATCAATCATCTATTCCTATCTATCTACCTGCCTATTCATCTATCGTCTATCTACCTATCTATTCATCTGTCTATTCATCTATCTATCAATCATCTATCTATTCATCTATCAATCATCTATCTATTCATCTATCTATCAATCATCTATCTATTCATCTATCAATCATCTATCTATTCATCTATCTATCTATCTACCTATCTATTCATCTATCTATTCATCTATCTATCAATCATCTATCTATTCATCTATCAATCATCTATCTATTCATCTATCTATCTACCTATCTATTCAACTATCTATCATCTATCTACCTATCTACACCCTCTTTTCTCCTGTATGGCACATCTTCCTCCCTTAGGTGTGGCTGGACCTCAAGATGGAAGTCCTCTGTCCCCAATTCACTGTTCTGTGTCTTTCATAGCCACACCTTCTCTGCTTGTGGCTACACCACGGGGACTGCCTGAGAACAAGGGCAGTCACACGCATGGCTGGGAGCCAAGGTGTCCTTGGTTTGCCTCATAGCAGGAGGCCGTGGGGAAGCCGCTAACTCGGGAGCCAGGAGACCCGAGTCTCGGGCCCAGTCCTGCCCCTTATCAGCCTTGTGCTGTGGGCTAAGTTGTCTCCCTGCTCCCCACTGCAGACTCCCCATTGGTGAAATGAGGGTTTTGTCCTGGAGGATCTCCATGTTCTTTCCAAGTCAGCTCTTCTCTGGCTCAGGGGCTCAGTACCTCATTGAATCCGGTAATCAAGCATCCATCTCTCTCTGTGATGTTGGGAAGGTTCAGGTTGTTTTCGGCTAGTGCTTCATTGCTATCATCACACAGGTTCAGGGTCTGACACATCTGGGAAGAGAGACAAAGCAGTCACGATCATACAGATGTTTCTAAAACAAGAGACAAATGGGCTATCCAATTCCAGAATCTCAGATTCTCAAAGTTGGCCAGGAGCCTGCGTGGGCATCAGGTACAACCCATGCCCAACATGGAAACCACACTCTGATCTTCCCAGCAAGTGAGAATCAGCCTTTGCTCATGGACTCCCAAAGATGGGGGACTCACTACCTGCATAGCTGGCATCGTTCATTTGTCAGCGATTTCTTCCCAATATCAAACCAACATGGGCCTCTTTGCATCTTCCGCTATTGCTGCCCCGTGGTGCCAAACAAAACAAGCCTAGCCCTTTGCCACATTATACCCTTTCAGATCCTCAAAGACAACTCTCATGTCCTCCCTTAATTCTTCTCTTTCCCAGGCTGACGATCCCCACTTTGTGTTTGACAATAGGAGGGTCAAGCTTTCCTCTAAAAATGCATGAAGGACTCCTTATGGTCTAGGCATACCCGGGAAGAACAGTGCCAAATGAATGACATTACAGTTTGGATGTTCTTTTAACCTTTCTGTGATCTCCCATCAAAGAAGGCTCACGCTTGCAAAGGGGTTATATGTCTTAGCATTTTAAATCTATTTTTCTTCCTTTGGGGAAGATTTCACTATTGAGAGTTCACAATCAAATAATCTTACACTGCGGCCACCAGCTGCCAAGAAGCCCAGTGTTCTCTGGAGTTGAGAATTTTCTAATCCTTCTAGACAGTGTCAACAAGGTAGAGATTCCTTATTTTCAAATGTAGAAAAAGGAGGCCCAGACAAGTAGATGGGAGTTATCCCAGATCAGGGATGGAGCTGGGGGTGTAAGCCAAGTCCCCTGAATTCCATCCCGGTCTTCTCCAGAATGGAAACTAACCTCTTGAGACCCAGCTAGCAGATGAGAAAAGTACAGAAGAGGGGGTTCTGTCTCTGACTGCCTGGGTCCAAAGGTAGAGGCAAGGTCCTTCAAGCTAAGTGGCAGCCAGTGCCCCATTCCGACTCGGGGGCCAGAAGGAGGAATCCTGAAAGTCCAGGCACCGCCCTCCTCCATCCAGCCAACCTCCTACCCACCTTATTTTTAAGATCACTAGCCGTTGTGTGGAGGTGCTTTGCAAATTCGAGATCAGGATTGCTGGATGATTTCCTTAGGACCTCATCCCCTGGAGATCCGTCCCCCAAGGAATCTGGGATGGGGAGAGCAGCTGTGGCCATGAGGAGCATCAGGATGAAGGCAAGTGGCCTAAGAGATCCTGTGACTGGGGAAAGGGGAGAGAGCGGAGTGAGATCACCACGCAGCCGCTCAGGCTGAACTTCCTCCTGCTGGCTAGCTTCCACTAGGGCCAGAGCCAGACGCACACACACACACACACACACACAGCTTCCACTAGGGCCAGAGCCAGACACACACACACACACGCACACACACACGCAGAGCTACTGGGACAAGGCCAGAGCTCAGCATTCCCCTTACTTACTTTGGAGCAGAGGGTTCATGTCTCAGGGTGTTGAACGCAGGTTTGAGTTTCTGGTGGTCTGGAGGGCAGAATGAGCCACCCGACATCCCTGATCTGTATTTATTAGCGTTGAGACTCAAAAATGAACTTGCTTGGGAAAATCCAATGTTTTGACAAATCTTTGGTGGGGGTGGAGCTGGGGCTGGGTGTGAATTTAGAGGAAACCTTATTAACGTTGTGCAAGAGTCAAACCGTGACGTCCTTTAGCATCACCGGAGTAAGGCTGGACAAGGCTTGGGTCATCAACTTCAGCCCCTAGAGGCCCCTGCGGGATCATTCTTCTATCGTTCTACACTTTCTTTTTTTCAGTGACTCAGCAGTTAGGCCTCTCTTGGGAAAGAGGAGCTGAAGGAAGTCAGAGAGGGCTGAGATCAAGTTTCAGTGACAAGGTAACTGGCTGAAATTCCGGAAGTTTGCCCACCCCCAACTCAAAGGAAACCCAGTAGACCAAAACCCATATTTTTGTTGTTGTTCAGTCATGTCGACTCTTCGTGACCCCATATGAGGCTTTTTTGGCAAAGGGACTAGAGTGGTTTGCCATTTCCTTCTCCATTTCATTTAACAGATGAAGAACTGAGGCAAACAGGGTGAGGTGACTTGCCCAGGGTCACACAGCTAAGAAGTGTCTGAGGCCAGATTTGAACTCGGGAAGATGAGTCTTCTTGACCCCCAACCCACACTGACAAAACATAAAATAGTGGTGGGGTAGGCATTTCCTTGATCAAAGGATTTGTGATTCTATGAAACAGTGTGTTAAAGGATACATCGAAATACTGAGTTCTGCCGGATTGTTTAAGAAAATATTTGATTCACCAAAATTTTCTTTACTCAAAAGTCAGTAATTTTAAACAATTTTTTAAATTTAAAATTTGATTTGATTTGGCACAACAGATCCTTTTCCAACAAATATTCAAACCAGTTCCTTCCTGAAGGGTGTTTCCCCAGAGAGTTAAGTCCAGTTGCCCAATAGAGTGATTGGAGTTTGGTTGTGAGCTCTTTGGGGACAGAGAATGTCTTTTGCTTCTTTTTGTGTCCCCAGTGCCTGGCACAGTGCCTGGCACATAGTAGGTGCTCAAAAGATGTCCATTTCATAGTTCATAGCATGTTAAGAGATACAAAGGCCATAGGCTTTAACCTTAACCTTCTGGTACCAATGTTGACCTGAATTCTGTTCTCCTGTTTGTGGCACCATTATTTAATTTACTGGAGTCACTGTTGTGTCCTGGGCCTTTGTGCTCTGCTTTCTTCAGTTGGTATCATTCCATCTAAATTTCCCTATACATATAATTTTTAGCAGCACCTCAGCTGCCTAGAGTTAGGCCCACCCACGTTTCCAATAACAGATCAAACAAATCACAGGTATTCCAGTTAGGGTAACTGGATTTTTACTTTCAGTAATTTTTAAACATGGTCATACAGTGATAAAGCATCGACTGACCTGCAAATCAGTAAGTTCTATCTGAAAATGGAGCACAAACTCAGGAGTATTTTCTTACTTTCATCCTTTCCTTTGCATAAGGCCAACTACTCCTTAAGTTAGTTAGTGAAGAATTCAAAACTTAATTATTTAATTACCTGGAAATCTCAGAGTAAGTAACCTGGATTCCATTAATTTGTTTTTTTGATATATAATTGGTTTCTTTTGGGGTCTACTGTATTTTATTTGATATGTTGAGACAGGATTCTGAGGAGGGGTCCCTAGGCTTCGTGATTGTGCCAGAGAGTCTGTGACCTCCAAAGGGTTGACAACCCCTTCACTACCTGCTTCTTCTTTCAGATCAATCTTCTGTCTTTGACTGAGGAATTCTGCAAGGAATTCTGTTTCTGTGCTCTGCCAGGTATCCTTACCATGTGGCACAGGGGAAGGTCACTGCTGCCTGGGGGTGGCCACTGGGTGGTATGGATGTAGAGGTAATGGGAGAATAGAGTCCCAGAGGAGATAGCTGGGGTGCTAAAGCCTCAGGAGTGGACAGGGCAGAGGGGAATGCCAAGACCCAAACCTCCCCTCATTTCACTTGGGGTGGTGCGACAGCATCAGCCAAAGCTCCCTGCAGCAGCAGCAACAGAATCACCAGGATAACAGTCAGCAGTCAGGAGCCTGAAGCACTTATGAGGAAGATGAGGAAGAAAGTATGTTGTACCCCTCCTCCCTGCCTGCTCCCTGACATTGCCCATCTCTGTTGGTAGCCAGGGCTGCAACTGGCTGAGCCCTTGACCCTGCTGTCATCTCCTCCCTTTCTTTGACCATGGTCACTCTGGGTTTCAGGTACTGAGGGTCTCTGGCCTGCCGAAGAAATGAGAGAGTTCAGGTTTTGCAGAAAAATCTCTTTTTAGCCGGAGTGACGTGTCTCAAAGTAAGAATAAACAGAAATGTGGACGATGTTTCTGTCCTCATGGGATGGCAGTACCAGGAACCACAGAACATGTCTTTAATTTCTAAAGCTAGAGATGCACTTGACTCATTCACAGTTTGGGTCAGGCCAGCTCTGCCCATGCTGCTCTGAGGGCCCTGCCCCCCATCTCCTCCTGCCCATGTGCCACAGACACTTGACCCCTGGTTTACATGATAGCCATGGGTGGTGCATAGAATCAAATGTTGGCTTTTGGTCAGCACCTTCACCTCTGAGTGAGAACGTCACTTCAATGTCTTAAGCCAATGGGACTCTCTGCCTGCTGGCACCATATTCTGCCAGGGTGCCACGTGAAGTGAAAGGGGAAGTAGGTAATGACTGGCAGCCCCCCTCAGGATGTCTGTTTCAGCTGTCCCTACGATGAGAGTGTTTCTTTCTTTTCTTTCTTTTTTATTTTTTTCTGGCTCCACCAACTGGAATAATTGCCATTGATCAGAGGGTTACCTGAGAAATGATGGTAACCCACGTGAATTAAAACAAGTACAGTTTCCAATGAGACTGACCATGTTTTGACCATAGAGCTTGTTTCAAAGGAGGCATGATGGAACCCAGTAAGACTTCTGGCTTTATCAGCATTTACCAGGGCCCTTACACTAGACAGCTTGGCCTTGTTGGCTGGGGGTAGAGATTAGCTGTCAACAAAGCTGCCATCTTTGAAATGTCTCTCCTTTGGACCTCGGGCTGACTAGTAATGACCATCTCTTCCTCTGGCTTCTCCTGCCGCAGCGGGGTGCCATGCAAAGGGAGTCATGGAAAGGGAGAGGACATAGGTGCAAATTCTGGGTCTGTATCACCTTCAGCAAATCTCTTCATTTCTCTGATCGATCTCGTGTGCCCTATCCAGCTCCAGGTCCTGTGATGCCCAATCCCTCCTCCTCCTCTTTATTGGCCCCATCTGGCACATCCCAAATCATATTGCAGGTCAGTAGAAGGTTTCCTGACTCCCAGGTGGTCCATTGTCATATCCACCAGGCTACACTGCCTCCCCTTCTCAGGGGTGCCTGGCAACTGTACTCAGGGAAGGAAAGAGAGGTGAATCCTGCAGATCAAGGCTTTCCAGGAGGCTCTCAAACTACCCGGAGTTGTTGCATGCCCAGAGAGTCCACTCTCCTGCACTCCTGGCTACCTCCTTCCTCTCAGATTCGAAAATCCCAGTTAGCTCAGCTGGGAGGGAAGTAGACTCCCTTGGGAGCAGTGGAATAGATTCTTCCCAGGGTGACTATATGGACTTCTGGGGCTGAGCTGCTGAAGCCTCAGGACAGGCCACGGCCATCTTCCGTCAACGTCTACACAGAGTGGAGGTGGGAGACTTCAGGGGACTTCACTAACTAAGAAGCATCTGGTCTGCATCCCCCTTCTCTATGGAGGTGAGTCTGGCTGGGTTTCCTCCTCTTTTGTTTCTGTTTTACAGTGAAAAGCTTCAGAAGCGATATGTTCCCTTATTCTTAAAATATATTGACTTGAGCCACTTTCAGGTTCTGAGGCTGTCTTCCTCTGAAGATCAGCAGCTTGAGACAGAAACCAAAATGCAAAGTGTTGCTGAGTTCTCTTCATTTCCTTCCTCCGTCCCTTCCTCTTCTCCCTTGCCCTTGATTAAAGTGCTAAGAAAACCGCTGGATAGCGTCATCCACTGTGGACAGCTGAGCTGAATATTTGGTTTTTATGTTTCCCTCAATGTAGTTGAAGGAATACAGGGCTTATGTGAGAAGGTTGGTCTGAAACTCCTTTAGTTGGGTGACCCCTGAGCAATCTTCCCTGAAACCTTCTGCTTTTCCTTCACTTTTCCTTGTATTATATGTACCTAAGTACAGAAGAATGGAAGCTCCATGAGAGCAGAGACTCCTAGCATAGTGCCTTGCAGACAGTGGGCAATTAATAAATGTTTACTGCTAAACCAACCTTGACTTGGAGTTTTCCTTTTGTGTGTATGGGGTGGGTGCTTGTTCACATGTTTTCCTGGGGAAGTGAATTTTCCATTTCTGCATCTCAGGAGGAGGAACCTGGCTGTTCTGTGTCCACCATCAAAGAAGCCTTCCCATGGGGCCATTGATAACAATTTAAAAAAAACCAAGCTACTAAGACCTTCTCTAATGCATATGGTACCATGCTTGGGGAAGGAAGTGAAAGAGTATTTGTTAGGTGTCCTGAAGTCCAAGACTAGCTTGTGGGCTAGGGACCTATGAAAGCCCTCTGGGCCAGTCCCCTAATTTTACAGAACAGCCAAGTCCCAGGGAAGTGAACTGACTGGTTACCCATGGCTGAAGAGGGACTAAGAGTCAGAGGTGCGATTTGAACCCATGTCTTTTAATTCCAGAGCTAGTATCCTGAAACATAATTTCATGAAAAAAATGGATTCAATTTGGCTTATTTTACTCAATTCATTTAAAAAGAATTGAAATAATCACACATTGTCAGGTATCACATGGGCAGAATTAGATTGAATTTTTCCTTTTTGTTTGATCACGGCAGTGGAGAGTATGCTATGAAAGCCCCTTTCCCTTCTTTAGCCTCAGTGTCCTCATCTAAAAACTGAGGGGGTTGGACTTTGTCTCTGAGGCCCCTTCCAGCACTAAATCTTTGACCTTGTACCACTAGTATTTAAGGAAAGAGTTGGAACAGTGATAAGAGATTTCAAAGGAGACTCAAACCATGGGACGG